CGCCTTCGTCTTGCAGGAGCTTATACTCCCTTTACTGTGGAATGTTTTGCTAGAGGGGCAGAATACAGAGTTTTCTGCGGGCGCTCGTCAAATAATCTCTTTCAGCGAGCGCTGGTCAAACTCTCACCAGGCACTCGGGCTCTTTATAAGCAGTTTCGGGCGTACGTCGAGCACATTTAAAAATCTGTGTGGCAGAGGTGTCACCGTTGGTTTAATTACTAAAGTTTGAGGTACTTTCTCTCAGCGGAAAGTATCTGTGGGCTGCGCGGTCCTCCACAAAGGACCGTGTGGCCCCCGAAAATTTTGCATATTCTCGCGGAAAGTCCGCGAGAGTGCGGCCACTGCGCCGCAGCTAATCTAAGGAAACCGCGATTGTTCTCCAAGCATTCGTCTAAAATTTCGCTAAAATTTTTCCAAATATGTGTAAGCGGACCGCAAGAAATCAGCGAACTATTTTTCCGGTGCCCGCCCGCCCATAAATCGCATGGCCGCCTACCCCCGGCGATTATCTGAGTACTTGAGCACTTCCATTACAAAAGTCTCAACCACCTTTCACCCGGCAGTTTTTTCAAGGGACCATAGGCAAAGTATATATTTTCTGAAAGCGGAGGATGAGACGGTTCCAATGGTGACCATACCGGCGTACAAGATGTTCAGCTACAAAAGTCATAAATTTTTTTATGTTAAAAACTCGAAAATTCCCAAATGTCACTAGGCACACCCTTCACCCAGGCACTTTTTTAAACGGATCTCAGACATGCTATATATCTTCTGAAAGCGGAGGACGAGAAGGTTCCAATGTTGACCATCTCTGTGTACAAGATGCTCATCTACAAAAGTTACGGATTTTTCATCCTAAAAATTCATAAATATCAAGAAATCACTATCCACACCCTTCATCAAGCATCTCCTTTGCTTATTTTTACCTCACCGTTGGTTTTTTTCCTCGGCTTTTGGTGAAGGGGGTCACCTTGGTTCCGGCTCAGGGGCGAAAGGGGACGAGAAAATTCTCACATCATCGCACCTATGGTCTTGGTTATCTTCGTTTAGCATGTATGTTGTTACGGCTTATTTGTTTCAACAACGCTTCAACCGTTACGTCACCAAGAGTAGAAAATTGTTTTTTTATTGTTAGCCGTTTTATTGACCCTAAGATTGTTTATTGAACTAATCTTTGGTTTACAGATCGAGCAGCCCTATCACACTCCATCGAGATATCGGCTCTACCGACCGCTTTTTTTTCCAAATTTTTTAGTTTTTATTGATGCTTCTATCACCTCTTGAAGCTGGCAAGTGTATCCCCAGATTGCTCCCTTGGCGGATAAATATCGAATCCAATATTGGATCGCGCTAAAATACGCGGCGGTAGCATTTCCCAATGCCAGTCACTTGCTTATACATGTACTTCAAGAATCCACTCTTCATTTTTCATTATTGGCTCTATCATTTTTGTCCCAAGGCCTCGGACAGAGTTCACGCGACTTGATCGTCGTGGTCGATCGATTCAGTCGCTACAAGACAAGTGTTACGAGTTCATTGCTTGCCGATCTTCTTGCTTTTCGGTTGTGATAGTTTTCCAACACGACTAATCGTGACTAACTATCACAACCGAAATACAAGAAGACTGGCATGCAATGACTTCGTAAAAGGCCGGGCTTACTTCACGCGATCTCAGTCGGACGCGATTTGGCAATTCGCCAGAAGTCTTCAGATCCAACATTAGCAGACTGCACATGCAAGTGCTACTGCTTACGCTGCTAGACTGCTTACGCTAAATGGCAAAATGCCCTATCTTCTGTAAGTTTAGAATATGCATACAGTGAGTTATGGACAATTGGAATACTACCAAATCGCGTCGCGACTAAATCGCGTGAAGTATGCCTGGCCCTTAACATTTGTCTTGTAGCGATTGAATCGCGACGATCAAGTCGCGTGAACTCTACCCGAGGCCTAATTAAGCTATCGAGACCCATTCTTTAAACTAATTGAAGTGTGATAGTTGGTTTGGCTTGTCACTAACAAAAGAAGGGTACTATCTTAGATTCACCTTTTGAGATGAGACACAAAAATTTGGAATCATCTTGGAAAGCTGATTCTAAATATGCTGTTCCTAGCTGCTTAGCATTATTCTAAAGCAAGTAATGGTCTTTTTTCTATGCAAAGTTTGCGTGCTCTTCGACCTATTGATGCTACGTTTCGACGTCTAGATGGTTTTGCAACTGTATAATGCTCCCTTTTAAGATTGAGAGAATTGACCTATTGCTAGTTCAACATCCTAGCACTTTGTTTTCGAGCAGATTCTTATCTACACGCCCGCCGTCTTACGACATTCAGAGGTTTCTTGATTACTCACATCAACAATCCCATAACTCGCTTCGGAATAACGCTAAGCAGCTAGGAACAGCATATTTGGAATCAGCGTTCAAAGCTTATTCCATACATATGTGTCTCATCTCAAAAAGCAAAACTAAGATGGTATCCTTCCTTTGTAAGATATCCGTTTCTATGGTGCACCTACAATTACTGGGGGAAAGCTAGAGAGAAAGGCAGTGTCGAGGTACATGTCCTAACACGTATTTGAGGGGCTTGCGTCGACTCTTACAAAGGAAGCTGTTTAGTCGAAATAGACTTTTTAAATGAGATGTATACCATATTGAAGGGCGTAAAACGCTGATTCTAAATTTGCCTTCCTTATCTGCAGAAAGTCTATAGATGAGGTTATGAGCGTTTTTTGGAGTTAGAAATTGGATGTGCATTTTAGATGAAATGTGCTGCTAATTCTTACTAGCTCTCAAGTGATGCAACCAATGTGGATATGTTTTATCATAGAGTATATTTAGAATGAAGTGCTCTAATGCACTGCTCCACTGAAGAACTAGAAAATGTATTTCGGCTACTTTTGTCCTACTTGCACATTCAATTTTTTGCTCCGCTAACCGTTCATAACTCCTCGTCAATAAACGTTTTGCAGATAAGAAGGGCAGATTTGGAAGCAGCGTTTAATGCCCTTCAATATGGTATGCATCCCATTTAAGAAAACCACTTCGACTAAACATTCATTCCTTGTTAGCCATTTTTGCGCGGAGACCCATTGCCATGGTTTGTGGGTGCCCACGCAACAGAATGTAAAACGAGACAAATCGTCCTCCAAATATGGTAGCGGGATCGGGTTAGGAGAGTTAGGATCACAAAACAGATTCCGTGCAATGCGCACAAGTTAAAAGCAGCGTCCACACTTCTTCAATTTTTGAAAACTCTACTTGACAGTTTTGCTGTTTAAACTCTCTCGCTACAAGATTCATTACGTTCTGAGCTGCTACGTTTCCGCTTTCATAGGCTGGTTCATACTGACTCCCTTGTTTTGGAACTGTTCCGGAACTGTGATGCATGCGCTGCAACTGCCCCGCATGTTTTGAACGGCGGAAGCTAGAGAATTTTGACCGTTTTCAACGTTTTCTTCCAAATTTTCCTCTCAGTGGCCTTATTCCTCTATCCCGCTTCCCTTCTTAATCAGCAGAACTTCGAACTCAAAGCGGGGTTGAAGAATGAGCGCGTTTCTGCTTTGCATGTCCGACAAACGTCTGCTCTTGCACTCGTCTACTCTCGCTTCGTTCTCTTCTTGCTCAAGGCTATTCCATTTGTTCCAGGAAGCCGCTGGTAGTTTTCGCAGGGATCTGTCTCGAATTAGGACATGCGAACATTCTAAAAATGCGGAAATGGGATGTTTACTCTTGTTTTCTATGAGTTTCGTATTTGGGCATTTTCAGCCCTCTTTCATATTTTAGCTTCTACGTTCTCTCTTCTACCCAGCTTCTCCTCGTGAAGAGAGAAGCTGTGAACTTAAAGCGAATTTGAAGATTGAACGCTGTTCTGTTCTATGTATCCGGGCCGATGGTCTTTTCTCTTCCGTTTTGTTCAGATCTACTTCATGTGTTTTACAAACCTGTTTATGTCTTTTTCAACACAGGAAATTACGCAGCGCCTCTCTGAAATACATGAAATACGTCTGAACAAAAATAGCGAAGAGAGAATGGACGAGCGCAAGAACAGACATTTTTTGGATATGTAGAGCTAAAAAGCGCTCATTCTTCAACATCTTTTCAATTTCGAAGTTCTGCTGATCAAAAAGGGAATCGAGGTAGAGGAATAAGGCCAGCATAGAGGAATCTGAAAGAAAAACCGTTAAAAAAGGTCAAAATTCTTCAACTCCCGCCGTTTAACACATGTGGGGCAGTTGCAGCGCATGCAGCACAGTTCCGGAACAGTTCCAGCGCAGTTCGGGAACAGTTCCGGAACATGAAAATCAGTATGAATCCAGCCGTACGGATCTGATTGCGAGAGCCGATGACTTACAACAATCTATGTGGCAGCGTCCAGACAAGCTCATTTTTCCTTTTGCTTCTTCTCTCATAAACAACTTCCAGCTTTACATGCGCCGCACTCGTGTTGGTATGCTAATGCTTTGGTAGTAGTGGGTTCCGTCTTCCGTCAAAAAATTGTGCTACAAAGACTTCTTCTGTTGAATAGCCCCTACTTTAGAACGAAAGAAACAACCGACACTAGAAACTTTGAACGCATATATGACTGATACCTGCGGAAATAGAAGTTAACCATTTCCATCTGTCTCATTCCTAAAGTTTTAATCCATGGGCTTCCGTCTTGCTAGATTCTCTGGCTACGTACCCTCGCTTGTGTTTCAACATTTGGACTAGTTTCCCTGATGGAAGCTACAAGATGCTACTCTCGATGTTTAGCTGCCGCGCAAAAGGGATTACATAATCGAAACAGACTGCGACGATATTTCTTGAATGTGCAGGGTAGCCCTTGTATGGGACTTGTACAGGGAGCTGCACAAAGATTAGAGGACATTTTCGTTAATAACCATATTAATAAGAATACTAAGAGGGATGCTGCTAAGTTTTTAAGTGATATCCGGTCGAATGTATGACCTATGCCAAGTGCCACATTGCCATCACGTCTATGAATTATTCGGCACTCACCAAACGGGCATACTTTCCAGGGTCTTGTGTTTCACTTGGCAAATCTGCAGTAAAGATACGCCTGAAATATAATGCACTGGCTGCCTTTGCGTATGGTGTGCTGTGTTCTTCGAGTAATTCGAGTAAAATCTGTTGTTCGCTATCCAACACTGGTTCGCTTGACGGCTCCTCGCTCGGTGAAGTCTGAAACTCTCAACAGCTATCAAGCGACGGCATCCTACTAAACCAACATCCATCGTAGCGTAATCCTCCATGACGGTCGAGTAGAGATCACAGATTGACAACTGCTCTTATGCTTTCTGTCTTTTATATGCTCGGTTATCTGGACATCTGCATGAAAAATGCAATCGTAAACAATGACTTAGAGTAGCTCATTATAGAGGAGAGATACTTAGACCAAGCTTCGTAGCCCCCCCTCCCCTCTCAATGCAGTTACTCTCGTTGCCCTTTAAACCCTTCCCCTTGTCATCTATTTCTGGAAAGCCACTGTGAAGGTATGGATGGTGTAGAGAGACTCCACCTTTGAGCCGTATGCACGTACATCTTCGCAAGAGGGGAGTAGATCTGAGAGTCTCTAGTTGAGAGGGGACGCGTCATATTTCGTTACCCTATATATTTTTCTTCTTCTTTCTCCATCTAGCTTATGAAGGGAACTCATACCCTGATACCTGCGCATAATAGGTGCCATGTTACTGCTATACAAGATTAGATTTCACTAGTTTTTGCCCTTAAAGCCATTTATCTTCCTGAAAACTCAATGAAAAGCTGTAAAATTGTACTGAGGACTTACTGCGGCACTGCTAAGCATGTTTTGATGGAAAAAATGGAATTTGAAGATGGTGAATTTTTCGATATTATGAATTTTTTGATAATCCCTAGCTCGCGAGCACTGGTTATGATCCGTAGGATGACATATAATTAGTCCATCGTTTCAAAAACCAGTTAATTCTAGGAAAAATTTCAAGGCGACAAAAACAGCATTTGCTATGGCAAAGACAAGGTGATGCACATAAAGGCGACTTCTGCACGGTAGGGAAGAATTAAATACACTGTTTAATCAGAAAGTTATTGCTTTATCAGAATACTTCTTTGATACGAGAGACGGAAGATTTCCCCCTGAGACTGCTAATATTTTTTCAAAATTTCTTGCACCGTATACCTGCCTCTCTAAGCAGGAACACCAATCCACGAGACGAAGAAATCAACACATACTAAATACCGTAAATCAAAAGAGCATTTTTGCACGACGTGAATCATTCCGCGACTACTGCGCTTTTAGTTAGGTCACGGTGATGGGCAGACAAAACGGCAACATCCCTTGACTAAAATCACATATGCCCAAATGCATGAGAGTGCCTGCTAAGGAAGCGGCTCTTTAGAGGTACTGTCCACTGTAACTGAGGGTGATAGACAGCCTGGCCCCTAACTAAATCATCGCCCAGGTCTTCCTGTAAAAGATGATTCCACGCAAAGGAAAACGCTCCAGACGGTAGAAGCGGTCATGCTGGCTCCGCCTTTCGGAATGGACTTCAATGTATCCAGAACTGTGATCGGTCCGCCTTCATTACAATTAGCGCGTCTGTGACTTTTTTATCCCCTGAAACCCAACGCTAAACTTGTGTCTTCAGACTATCCACTGCTTCTACCGTCTGAAGAGTTTTCTCATTGTGAATTTATCCTTTGCGACAAGACTTCGGCGGTTGTTTAGTCAGAGCCCCGCTATTATGTGGCCTCATGCCACCCGCAATTTGAGTGGGCGGTGCCCTTGAGATTTTTCCACGCTGACTGGTTTGGTGCGATGCGTGAATCTGTATTTTTCTGCATCCACTCTCTTTCGGTATAAACTTTCATGTTGCCAAAAATCATCTTTCAATGAAAAAGATCCATAGCATGTTGCTTCAGTCGGCAAGAGAGGCAATGCTCTCTCAGTTTCATGTGTATACTACACACGCTGTTCAAGTTTGCATGTTCAGAATTCGTTCTCGAGCTTTCGCTCCTAGCTTGGTAGTTGCCATTATCATTGTCAGCTTGTTACCATCGTTATGTCACTACCACTGCTCAATGCCAAGTTCTTACCATTGGTACTCGGCTTCGACATAAGTGTATGATCGCCTTCCTAAGCTTATACTTTAGTTCGCGTTCCCACTAGCTGACAATTATGAATGTCCTCCCCTTTGTAGAAGGCAGCCGGCACGATCGCAAGCTTGAATGTTATTAAGCTGGAAACTAAGTTTTGCAACTACTTCCATAACTTTCTTCTTTTTTCATCATGGCGCACTCAAGTTTTGCCACTATGTGGACTATGACGTAAACTACAAAAGCAGCTACACTCCTGCCAAATCCTGACGTCCCAGTCAGGATTACGTTAGGTACATGGTACAAAGAGAATTATTGTAATAACATTTTACGAATTTGGCTAAAACTTGGCATATTGATTTTATTTGACATGCTGATCACTAAAACAATACTAAAACTGCATGGTAAGAGCTTTTTGTAAGATTACTGTAGGTTTACGTTTTGTGGTTCCACCCTAATCAAGAAAAATAACTTTGATTCAACAAATGGTTCTGATATTCGTGTTTGTTAGGTCAAATAACCCCACTATGCGAAGTCTCGGCAAATTTTGAGGTCTTGACTCCCTATCATTGACATTCGCCCCCAGCAGTTCTGCGTACTGGGCTTGTCCAACTCTGTGAGAGCGTCAAACCTCGAATCCCTCTAATGTCACTTGTTTTCATTGAGTTAATTGAATTAACCTTTAGCAATAATTCACACACAATTTCGAATCATTTTGCATGGTCTAGGTCGTCTTCATTTTGGCTCAAAACCCCAAAAATTCTCGGAATTCAGCAGTTTTCAAGGAACGTTTCTAATTTTTCTTATTCGTTTTCAAACTTCTCGCAGTTTGTGCGCAGTTGTAGAGCGCATTACATTCTACACATTGCCAAAGTTTGAGTGCGCAATATTTAAAGAGAGTAAAATTATGAAGACGGCTGCAAAACTTAGTTTCAAACCTAGTTTGGAACCAATTATTCATTCAAAGCGAAATGTTACAAAGAAGAAACGGTTGCGTTGAACACCGACATCAATAGCTGAATCTTTAGACTCATAAGATTGTTGCTTTTACTGCTACCGCTGTACCACTATTGCAGCTTTTACTGTTAACCGTTTGTACCACTGTTTCGATGTTCCGCTTTTGATGACTGTTTGCCTTATTGCAACCGCATTTTTCTGCCGCCGTTCCATCAACTCTTAACTTCAACTCCAGTAACTCTTTTCTAAAGTAAAAGAAATCAATGTCAAATGGCGTAGTTGGGAGGTGGAAATGTTTTTAACATTAGAATGATAAGAGAGTTTTCAGGGACATTTTAGATTAACCAAGAAGTTTGAAGTTTTCCGATAACAAACTCAAATTTCTTACAAGGAAAGGATACTTAGTCGAAAGTACCAATCCAAATGAGACATATATCATCTTAAAGCGCTTGGAACGCTAATTCCAAATCTATAATTTCTAACTGCGGAGCGGTTTTGTGGAAGGAGTTATGAAGGGTGTTTCCATCCGGAATTGAGGCGCCCTTCAGCAGGTCTCCTTCATATCTCTGCTCTGCAGAGAAGTGCCAACTAGCCTAGTGGTAAGTGACTTGCTTGATAAGGAAGGAGTCGAAGTTTCAATCCCTTCGCATGCAAGCTCATCGCAATTTTCGCAAAATTGAGCTTCTGAATGGCTTTGGAGCCATAATAGAATTTTTGATGATATTGATCCTAATCGAAATTAGAAATGTTAGAGAACCAAGTAATGTGAGTATTGTAATCCTTATTGTAGTCTTCATTCAAGTTGCTTACCACTATGCCAGTCGACACCTTTTTGTGTTTCTATAGTGCTCGTAGGCAAGAGCCGACATCTGAAGGGGGCCTCAATCCCAAAGGGAAACACCCCTCATAACTCCTTCTACAAAACCGCTCCGCAGCTAGAAACTATAGATTTGGAATCAACGTTTTAAGCGCTTTAAGATGATATGTCTCTCATCGGGAGTGGTGCTTTCGACTAGGTATCCTCTCCTTGTTAGATGCTTGAAAACAAATCATGGTTTTTTGATTATCCGCTTCAATAATAATTGTTTGCAAGCCCAGTATTTCATGAAATTTTTAATGTAACTCTTCTGAAATTGCTCTATTGTATACCACAGTAAGCCATTATGTGATCACATGCGCCTTGCAGTGCACTGGGTGCATCGGCCCATTGGTTCGCTGGTAGCTAAAAAATATACGGGAAGCCTATAACTAAAGCTAAATGCTTCGCAACATTTTTTCCGATAAAGGCTTGGTTGTTTGACAAAGAAGAAAAATTAGAACTTTCTGCGACTGCGCTATCTTGAGTGCCGTGCTGTCCAATTTTTATGTGCTCTTATAGCGCTCGAAAGTAGATTTTGAATTAGCTAGATTACGGACTCAAAAATCTGTGTTTACATGTGATAAGCACGTACTCTGGTAACCTTCACTTTAAGGGCTATGGGGGGACACAACCTTCACCTGAAAAAAAAATAGAAGTCATCCGTCGCCCCGGATGTTATAATCCTAACTATAAAACGAATGTTAGTAAAGCAAATATAGGGGATAATATCTTTGGTTTATCTCAGCGAAATCGAGAATTTGCGTTTTCATAGCCTTTTTTACTTTATAAAAAAAGATTTCTGTGGGATTTTCGCCAGAATTCGATACAAAATTTCTCAGTTATCCTTTCATTTGAACAAAATCGAGTTTCAGAAGTTTAGGAAAGCTATTGGAGTTGAATAAAAGCGAGAAACTGCGTTTAAATTTTGCGCAAAAAGCCGCGCAAGAAAACGCCGGTCTATACTGTTAATGAGCGATTTTCAAAGCTTGGGACATTGTCAGTTCTCCTCGCCGTGTCATGACGATCAGAATAATATATAATGTTGAAGGGTTTCGTTGAGGCCCCGCGGAGATCTACGACCAGAGCCAAATTCCGCGTCGGCTCTGGTCTGGCTCCGCTGCTCGTCTGCGTCTCCGTCTCGTCTGCGCACTACCTCGCTACCCCAAACGCGGGGCGCGGGGCATTTGGCTCTGGTACCCCTTTCTTCGCTGTTTCGAACCCAATTTTAGCAAGCTATATATCATTTTGAAGCTCTTGATCTCTATTTTCACGCTGACAACGTCCCAGAACCATTTTTTGATTTGATCGAAAAATCCGGCAGAAACCTTGTTCTCGAAAATCTCTTGTTTTTCTCCTAGTTTAACTATTTTCA